TATGTTGTCATGTTATCTGATATATTCCTTTTTGAATCCTGCCATGTTCCTTGTAGACACTTCGAGGTCACTAAGGTCTCATGACCTTCTTAGCTCGTCCTCTCTCTTAGGTCGCCTTAAGTCTCGTTCTTCTCCTCAAACTTCAGAGAGCGCTCCTCTCAAGATGGTTGTTCCAAAGAGTGGTCCTCCTCCATCCCACCTCGTACTAACCTAAAGAGGAAACTGGAGATGCCTATTGATGTTGATGCTGCTGATTTCTCTTTTGATTCCTTGGCTCCACATGTGGATACTCTGCTGTTTCCGTCCTTCAAGGATCGTCAGTCCTTGCAGACTTTCGCTGACCTTTCTCAAGAGACTGCTGTGCAGTCTTTCCAGGTATGGTATACTCCCAAAAATAAAAATTAAATAAAAATGACATTATTGAATTACGTTTTTCTTACACGATTCCATACTTTGCAGAGTCTTCAATCTTTTTTGGGCGTACTGGGCAAAGTGTCAGAGTTTACTCGGGTGTATGAGGCTATGAAGAAGGAACGTGATGCCCTTTCTGACAAATACAAGGCTGCTACTGACGCTTTGAAGGTTGAAAGGACTAAGCATAGGGAGTGCATTGTTGAACGTGATGGGCTGAAGAGCACCTTGAAGGAGGCTGGGAACGAAGTTGTTGATGCTGCAGCGTATTACTTTGGGAAAGCTCGTCTTGAAATGATGGAGGAGTTTCAGCAAGGGAAGCATGAGGCTTGGGATTATGATGCTGATAAGGCCGCCTTTGAGAAGGCATTTCCTGAAGGGACTGCTGCTCCTGGCTCATTGTTGCTGAGCTTTGCTGATGAGGAAGTGAACTCTCCCCATAACAACGAGGTCAAGGACGTCCCAGAGAGTGTGAAGTCTGTTGCTGAGGAGGTGGTCCCTGCTGATAACATGGACGGAAATTAGTTTCAATGGTGCTGCGCCACTTTAAATATTTTTAGCTTTGAAGAATGTTTGTTTTTACTGCCTTAGTGCAGTTGGATATTTTATTTTGTTTTTATTCTGCATTGTTGTAGCTGGATGATTTGTCTATTTTGTTGCTTTTGCAACTAAGTAATTCTGCTTCTTTTGCTAGTTTGAACTGTGCTTATGTTTCTTACTGTATTGTTGTTGCATTATAGTCGTATTACGGTTGTATTACAGTTGTATTATAGTTGTATTACACTTGTATTATGGATGTAATATTTCTTACATGTATGTGCTTATTCTGCGGGGATAGTTGGTTTGCTGTCCTCGTATTGGTTTTTTCCTTGTAGGGACGAATAAGCATTGCTCTATAGTGTCTTGTCATGCCTTTTCCTAGCAGTGTCAATGTTGTCCTTACAAAACAGAATTGGGTGAGGGGTGGTCGTGGGTTTCCCCAACGGCCCTCCGATGCCAAAGTCAGTATTCGTAGTGAAAATAAATCGAATTGACAAAGTGTAAGTAAAGAGGAGTACCTTTCGTGCTGATTTTGGCTGTTGGAGATTTTTGTTTGGTTTTTTTTTTTTTTTGCTTGTTTTCCTTTTTTTTTTTTTTATGGTTTTTGTGTTCTTTTGTAAAAAGAAACGAAATTAAAATGATGGCTACGTACCTTCGCTCTTCAGAAATGATAGAGCTTTAAATGTGCTGCATTTCAGCTTCTCTGTACCTCTTTTCCTTCCGCACTTCTGAGTCTGTAGGCTCCATTACCTACTACCTTGATGATCTCGTAGGGTCCTTCCCAGTTGGGTGCTAATTTCCATGCGTTTACCTCTCTGGTATTTTCGTACACCTTTCTGAGAACCCAATCTCCCAATTTGAAGACTCTTGCCCTGACGTTCTTGTTGAAGGATCTTGCTACTTCTTGCTGATATGCTGCCATTCTCATTTTCGCGTCTTCTCTTAATTCCTCCACTGTGTCCAAGTTGTGAATTAGCTCTGCTTGGTTCCTTTCTTCTGTCATTAACCCGTACCTTGTTGTGGGGACTTCTACCTCTGTTGGGATCACTGCTTCACACTCGTACACCAATGAGAATGGAGTGTGGCCTGTAGCGCCTTTTGGAGTTGTCCTATCTGCCCATAGTATGTTGGGCAATTCATCTGCCCATTTCCCTTTCGCTCCTTCTAGCCTTTTCTTCATGTTGCCTATAAGGACCTTGTTACTTGATTTTGCCTGTCCGTTTGCTTATGGGTATCTAGGCGTAGAAGTGATGAGAGAAATGTTCCATTCCTTGTAGAACTTCGTGGTCTTATTGCTGATGAATTGGGAGCCATTATCTGTAATGATCTCTGCTGGTACTCCGAATCTACTTAGGATGTTTCTTTTTATGAACGAGATGACATGTTTATCCTTGATTTCCTTGTACGCTTCTGCTTCGATCCATTTTGAATAGTAGTCTGTCATTGCTAAGAAGTGTACTCTTTGCCCTGATGACGGTGGTAGCTTCACTATATCCATTCCCCACTTCATGAATGGCCAAGGCGTCAGTGTTGGATGTAACTCTTCTGACGTTTTGTGAGTCAAAGGTGCGTGTCTTTGGCATGCTAAGCATTTCTTGGCGAATTCTCCAGCGTCCTTTCTCATGCTGGGCCAATAGTATCCCATTATAAGTGCTCTGTTGGCTAAATTCCTTCCTCCTGAATGATTTCCGCATTCCCCGCTGTGTAGGGACTGTAAGACATGTTGTGCTTCTTCTTTCTCTAAGCATCGTAAGAAGGGACCTTCTACTGACTTCTTGAAGAGTACGTTGCTGATTAGGAAATATTTGGAGGCTTTCAGAGCGAATGCTTGAGCTGCTACTTTCCCTGTTGGTGTTGTCTTGTCCAAGAGGTATTCTTTAAGTGGTGTTGTCCAGCTGTCGTCTTCTTTCTCTGTAGGACCTGCTTGAACTTCACAGATGTTCATGGTTGATTCTTTCTCTATGGATGGAGAGAGTACGTGCACTAGGGGAATAGCTCCAAATTCTTCTAGATTAATATTTGATCCCAAGTTTGCCAGGGCGTCTGCTTTAGTGTTCAAGTTTCTAGGTACCTGGTCTATCTTGATTCTTTGAACTCCTTAATGAGTTTCTTTGTGACTTCTAGGTAGGCTATCATCCTGATATCCTTTGTTGCATATCCTCCATTGATCTGATTTACCATGAGTAAGAAGTTTGAAATTACCTCTAGACGTTGTATCTTCATATCCCTTGCGACGGTTAACCCTATGATCAGTGCTTCGTATTCAGCTTCATTATTGGTGGCCTTGAAGTTGCATCTTATTGCCTATGCTATCTTGTCTCCTTGGGGTGATGTCAGTACTACTCCTAGGCCTACACCGCGTATGTTCGCTGCGCCGTCTGTATGGAGTATCCACTTCTATGTAGCCTTTGGTTCTTGCAATGCCAATACTTCTTTCTGTACTTCTTCCTCAAGGGTTGGACTAAAGTCTGCTACGAAGTCTGCCAAAGCTTGTGATTTGATTGCGGTCCTGGGTTCGTATTGTATATCGTACCTGCTCATATGTAAGGCCCATTTTTCCATTCTTCCTGACATTTCTGGCTTTCTCATGATAGCTTTGATGGGATAGTTGGTGCGAACTCATATGGAATGACTTTCAAAGTATGGGCGTAACTTTATTGAAGCAGTAACTAGGGCCAAAATAATTTTCTCTAAGGACGCGTATCTTGTTTCCGCGCTGAGTAGGGTTTTGCTTACGCAATAGATTGGGAATTGTTCTTTACCTTCTTCTCTTGTAAGGACTGCACTGATCGTCCCTTCAGATACTGCGAGGTACAACTGGAGGGGCTCTCCTTCCTTAGGTTTGAGAGAATCAATGGGTTGGCTAAGTACTCTTTTAACTTCTGAAATGCTTCTTCGTGTTCCTGTTCCCACTTGAATTCCTTGTTCTTCTTCAATACTTCATAGAAGGCTTTGTTCTTGTCTGAAGATTTTGAAATGAACCTATTTAGTGCTGCAATTTTCCCTGTTAGGCTCTGTACATCTTTCTTTGACTTTGGTCGTTCCAGATCTAGAATAACTTTGACTTGGTCTGGGCTAGCTTCTATTCCTCTTTGTGTAACCATGTATCCTAGGAACTTTCCTGACTGTACTCCAAATGTGCATTTTGTGGGATTCAACTTCATGTCGTACTGCTTTAGGATGGCAAATGCTTCTCTAAGGTCTCTGACGTGATCTTCTGCCTTCTTGGATTTAACCACCATGTCGTCTATGTAGACCTCTATTGTGTTCCCTATTTGTTTTTCGAACATCTTGTTCACCAGCCTTTGATACGTCGCTCCTGCGTTCTTCAATCCGAAAGGCATTACCTTATAACAATATATTCCTTGACTAGTAATAAAAGCGGTTTTCTCCTGGTCATCCTTGTGCATGAGTATTTGATTATAACCACTGTACGCATCCATGAAGGATAGCAGCTCGTGCCCTGCTGTGGCGTCTACCATTGCATCAATATGAGGTAAGGGGAACGGATCTTTTGGGCATGCCTTGTTGATATCTGTGAATTCTATGCAGATTCGCCATTTTCCGTTCTTCTTCCTGACTACAACTACATTAACAAGCCATTCTGGGTATTTTACTTCTCTGATCTTTCCAGTTTTCAATAGGTTTTGGATTTCCTCATTGATAATCTTGTTCCTTTCTGGTGCAAATTTCCTTCTCTTCTGCTTTACTGGTGTATGCATTGGATCTACATTCAGCTTGTGAGTAATTACATCTGGCGAGATGCCTTTCATGTCTTCATGGGTCCAAGCGAATGCATCTTTTTCCTCTTCTAAGAAGTTATATATTTGTTGTCGGAGATCCGACTTCAGTTCTGACCCTATTATGACCTTTTGATCTGGGTGCTTGGGGTTCAACTGGACTTCTGTGGCTTCTTGTTCTTCTGCTATGCTCAACTTCTCTTGGCCCAGTTGACCCTCTAATTGCTATGCTGAGCTCTTTTCTGCAGATGTTGCTTTTAAGGCGATCTTGTAACATTCCTTGGCATCCTTAGGATCTCCTCTGATTTCTTAAATACCCCACCTGGTAGGGAACTTAATGACTTGATGGTACGTAGAGGGGATGGCCTTCATCTCATGTATCCAGGGTCTGCCTAAGATCATATTGTATGAGGATAGAGTGTTGATCACTAGGAATTTGACTTGTAGGTTGACTCCTTTTGCATAGGTAGCTAATGTGATCTCCCCGCTTGTCGTCTTGGTTTCCCCACTAAATCCTACTAGCATTGTTGACTTATTGATGATGTTCTTTTCGTCTATGTTCATATGTTTCAAAGTATCAAGCATGATGATGTTTGCAGAACTTCCATTGTCAACAAGGATTCGTTTGATCATGCAATTTCCAACTGGGAGTGAAATCACTAGACCGTCATGATGGCCTTCTACTGCATCGCTTTCTTCAAACATGATGGGAATATCTATCTTGGATTTCTCCCTTCTGTCGGGTTGATCCTTATTGCTCTCCTTTGCGTGCCGCTTTGCTGCTGAGTATGTTAAACCGCATACTTCTGACCCTCCTGATATGAAACAAATGGTTTTGACAATTGGAGGTGGAGGACCTCCCTGCTTTGATTCTCTTTCTTTCCCTGGAACTTTAGATCTATCTAACAGGAGTTCTTTGAGGTAACCTTTCTTCAGTAGGTAAGCAACTTCCTTTCTGAGCCCAACACATTCATCGGTTGTATGACCAATATCTGAATGAAAATCAAACCATCTGGATGAATCTTTCTTCTCTCCAGGCCTATCACTCTTTCTGGGCAATTGCACAGTATCTCCCATCTTATTCAGGGTTCTAATTACTCTCCTGCAGGGTTAACATTGAAGCAATATTCATGTAATTTAGGTGGGAGCTCAGGATCTTCCCTCCAATCGGAGAATTCTTCTTCGACAACATTGATTGATCCTTCATCAAAGCGAGAACGCTGATACGGATTAAATCGATGATCTCTTCTGGGAAAGTTGCTACTCCTTCTTGGCTGGCGATCTAGCTCGGGAGTCTTTCTTGCATATGTGTCCTCCTCAAATCTGACTTGGGCTATAGCTTTGGCTTGAACATCTTCAAAGGTTGTACAGGAATATTTGGTTAACTCCTTGTAGAGTTCACTATGGTCTAGAAATCCTCTTCTGAATGCTTCGATTGTTGTAGGAGCGTCACACTTGTGTATCCCAATCTTTTCCCTGTTGAACCTGTTAAGATAGTCCCTCAAGGATTCTCCATGTCTTTGCACAACACGGTACAAATCTGAAGACTGCTTTTCGATTTTCCTGCTGCTGGCAAACTGGATCTTGAATAGGTTCACCATTCCTGCAGAAGATCGATTTGTCCCATTATCTAAATTAATGAACCAAGTTAGAGCTGGACCTGATAGTGTGGCTCCAAAGCCTTTGCACATGATGGCCTCCCTGATATCTCTAGGGATTGAGCTTGTCATCATCTTCTGCTTGTAGAGGGACACATGCTCATCAGGGTCTGTTGTTCCATCATACATAGTCATGTTTGGTGTGCTGAATATTTTCGGCACTTCTACCATGGCGATCTCTTCTGAGAAAGGGGATTCTATATAGCCATTTGCTGCTTCTTCTTCCATGGGTTTTGGCATTCTAGGAATTTTGGCGATCTTGGCCTCAATTGCCTTGAGGTACTCCTTAACCATCTTTTCTATTTTTCCCTCCTCGGCTCCTTCCAGATTATTCTTCTTGAGGGTTCCTGCATCCAAAAAGTCTAGATCTAGGGTCGTTTCCCTGCTGTTAGATCCTTTTTCCCCGTTAGGGGTGTGAAAGGTTCCGGACATGTCAAGCTGCATGGCTATACTTTCAGTGCTCTTTCTGGTGTTAACGGTTTTGGATGCGACTGATTGTATTTGGCTGCGGAGGGCTTCATTCTGGGCCAGCTGTGTTTCGATTTGGATTTTCTGCTGGTCTAAGGTTTGACGGAATGCATTCATTCCTTCATTGATTTCGGCAATGGTAAAGGGTACTGGCTGCCCAGTCATGGTGTTTGTTTTGGTTTTTGGCGAATTGGTAGGTTAATTGATTATCATCCCCACGGTGGGCGTCAAATTGTTTAGGCAAATCTCAGCTAGGACATCTAAGAATTTGCTAGGTCTTGAGGGGTAATAACAATCATTCTACCAACAATATATAAAGTAAATAAGAACAGTATAAAAGCAATAAAATGACCAATAAGTAAGCAGATAATATTCAATAAGATAAAGAAGATGAGTTAAGAGATACAATACTGAGTAAGGACAAGCCTCCTTGTTCAGTAGGGATGTAGTTCCGTAGATAAAAGTAGAGCAAATTGTTTATATTGAATTATATGTGAGCGTACATGTCAGTTATAATGCCTAATTCTTCTTATTTATATCTAGGAATCTTTAGGGTTTACATAGATATTCAGAATATATTTAAAATGTAGAAGATCCTCTTGATTTATTTTGTTCCCAGTGGCTTAGGAATCTTTAGGGTTTACATAGATATTCAGAATATATTACGGATTGGATTCGATTTGGGGTTTAAAAAACCAAAATCCGAATTACAAACCGAATTTTGACCCAATACTTTAAGCCCATTTTCGTTTTCAAAGTATCCAACCACTTTCTCCTTTCATATATAAACTTTTAAAAAAAAAAAAACCTAATTCTCCTTTCTCAATATCTTACTCTCTCACAAAGAATGTAGTTAACAAGAAATGATTGTAGGAATTTTCAGGGTGAAGTTCAAGTTTCGGGTTTGAATGTTGCAAAAGAAGGGAACAAATTTCGGTTTAGATTGGATTCTAATTTGAAAAACCGAATTAATTCGGTTTGGATTGGATTGGATCGAATCTTAATTCGGTTTGGATTCAGATTGAGATTTCCGAAACCGAATTAATTCGAATAGGATTCGGTTTTGGCTGTAATCCAAACCGCAACCAAACTATCACCCCTACCCCGAACTAGGGGTGATCATGGATTATATATCCGAAAATTAATATATTTTATATCCGTATCCGATCCGAAAATTTCGGATCGAATACCTCGAATATCAACTATCCGGCTTTTATTTATTTTTTTTTATTTTTGAATAATTTTAAAAAATATTCATTTAAGGCAAATTGATACACGTAGTACTAATTTAATGGCCAATTTTTTTCTTCTTTTTTTTTGCTAATGCAAAGTATATTGAAGTTGAGCCAAAAGCAAATTAAACAACTCCAAAAAAACAAAAAAAATCATTGCAACAACTGGTGGATGCAACGATGAAGCTGGGCAAACGCGCAAATGGGTCGTAGCTAGAGGAAAGTCGTGGTGTTGCGGGTATTGTTGCGTATTATCGTGGATGTTGGTGACGGTGGCTGAAGGGAAGCAATGGTGTTGCAGATGTTTGTTGCAGATCGTTGTCGTGGGCCATTGGTGGTTGCAGTCGTGAGGAGGGAAACCGGGCAAGCTGTTGGTTGTTGCGGATGTTGATGGTGGTGAATTGAGGGAAATCACAGTAGAGAATTTTTCACCAAAAAAAAAAAAGATTTAATAATGTTATGAAAATATCTATTGTGGATGACTATTATCCCATGTATTACCTAGAATACTTGATAGAGTATAAAACATATTCTTGGGCCTCAACCATCAGCTTAAGCTTTTGGTTGAGTTGGTCCTTTAACATGGTATCAAGAGCAGGTTAAATCTTGGGACCGTTCACACAAATTCTCCCCCTGCCGGTGGGTTAGAATATTAAACCCACCGGTGGGATTCATAAATTTGCTTCCGCTATGCAATAGTATTCCTCTTTGAAATTTCTATTTTTTTTTTTAATCTTTTTTTTTTGGAATAACCATGTGATACGTGGGTTATTATTGGTGTATGTGATCAATATGAATGATCATATGTGATTTGGTTAGGTTGTAGTGTTTGAGTGTGCTTCCTCCATTATTGCATCTCCATGGAGATGAAGAAAAGCCACGTTTGGCATATTGTTTATTATTTAAAAAAAAATTGCAAAAGACCACGGGCACCAGCAAAGGGCCGTGGTAGCAATTCAAAAGTTCTTTTTTTTTAATAATAATAATAAAAAAAATAAAAAAAAATTGAAGGCAACATCAACAGAGAGGTGCAACTCGATCGACTTCAACAAAGTGCGAATTTCCAATCGTAACATTCGTGTTACTGCCGTTACGATTGCGGGAGGGTGTTAGGAATATAGGAAAATATATTATTGTGATATATTTTCCATATAGATCTTATGATATTATATTATTTAGGATAATAATATATCTTAGTGATATTCTAAGATAGATTTATAGAAGTTTATATGATAGCGTTTATATTGTGTATGTTATCTACGCTATAAATAATAGCCAAGATCATCAATACAACGTAACGTAGTTTATATGATAGAGTTTATGAGAGAATAGCTTGAATTGTATTGATGATCTTGGCTATTATTTATAGCATAAATAACCTACACAATATAAACTCCATCATATAAACTTCTATAAATCTATCTTAGAATATCACTAAGATATATTATTATCCTAAATAATATAATATAATAAGATCTATATGGAAAATATATCACAATAATATATTTTCCTATATTCCTAACAATACTCTAGAGTTGGGTATTTGGTCTTATCCGTTGATGGAACCCTAGGTAATGTACATTATATATATCCTGTACTAGATGGAATAATAAAATACAACGTAACAATCTTCCCTCATCTCTCTATATTTTCTCTTCCATATTTAACACGTTATCAGCACCATTGCTAGTCAACTGAGTAGGATTACCAAACATTTATCTAGAATCCCATATTATTATTATTATTATCATGTAAGTATGATCGCAGCCCATAACAATTATAATTTAACATTTATCTACTTTTGCATGCTTATTTATTGGAATATCAACATATATAACAAAATACAGAGCATGATATATAATTTAAGATTCCATTCTTATTTTTCTCCACGCTAACGTTCTCATCTTCTATTTCGTTCTTATTTATGCATGATTTGTATCAGGTTTATTTATGCATGATTATAACATTTAGTATATATTTTGGATACTATTTATATATACTTATCTTTTAATATTATTTTGTATAGTAAAAAATGTCGAACCTTGCCAAACTCGAATTTGTGGCCCTTGATATTACCGGAAAGAATTATTTATCATGGGTGTTAGATGCTGAAATACACCTAGATGCTAAAGGGCTTGGTGAAACAATAAAAGAGGCTAATAAGGCAACACCTCAAGATAAGGCTAAAGCCATGATTTTTCTTCGCCATCACCTCCATGAAGGGCTCAAAAATGAATATTTAACTGTGAAAGACCCACAAATCCTTTGGAGTAATCTAAAGGAAAGGTATGACCACCAAAAAAACAGTGATACTCCCTAGAGCTCGTTATGAATGGTTGAATTTGAGATTGCAAGATTTTAAATCTGTTAGTGAATATAACTCAACTATGTTTAAAATAACTTCTCAATTGAAATTATGTGGAGAAAATATTACTGATGTAGAAATGCTTGAAAAGACATACTCCACTTTCCATGCTAATAATATTGTCCCGTAGACACAATATAGAGAAAAAGGTTTTAAAAAATATTCTGAATTAATATATTGTCTTCTTGTGGCTGAACAAAATAACGAGCTGGTAATGAAAAATTATGAATCACGTCCTACTGGCTCTACTCCATTCCCTGAAGCGAATGTGACAACCCATAACGTAAAAGAAACTAAAAACAGATACCATTCCAGCAGTAGTGGTCGAGGTAGAGGTCGTGGTCGTGGCCAATG